ACGCAGGGCTCCGATTTGAGATTTTTTATTTGGTCCACAGTTACTTACCTATCTCGTTACATATCGAATTGAATTACTGATTGAACAAACAAAATAAATCATATCATAATCCGAGTGTCATTCAGTGAACCTAAAAATATATACAGATTCATCAAATTACGTTCTTCTGAATTCAGTTAATTATCTGGGAGTTAGGAGAATTGAAAATCTTCTAGGAACTGTCCAGAACGTATTTATAACTTACTTAGCCTAAGAGTCATCTAGACGTGAATTCAATATCAAGTAAACATCATATACAGATTTTGTACTTATTTCAAATTTGTCAAGACCAAAACTATTTCATATTGTATCCATAACCTAACTCTCTAGTAGGTGAATCAAACAATCGATATTTTAAAATGCTAGTTTAGATTTTTACTACTATTAATCCAGTCATTTAAGCTTAAATTAGGTAAGAATCTCGGAATTATGGTAAATAAGCTAGTTTAGGCAAAACTGTTGAATACTGGGGAACAAACTGTTGAGTAGCAAGTAATACATGGGTGAACACTTCATTTTCAATAGGGACTCAATTCACCTACTGTAGAAACCCAATGACAGAAACTTTTTTTTACTGGCTGTTATTATATTGAAATGTAAAAATACATCTATAGTTATTAAATTATTCTCAAGTGTACGCGTTTTCCTGAACCGTTTTTCTCTGTGTAGTACCTCAGTGGCCTGATCACACTTCTTCCTGTCATGCGTAGGCGTCCTCGGAAAAAAGAAGCAGAATCAAGGCTTAATAATGCCCCATTCAGCTATCGTGTTCGACTGATTGAGGATGGAGTTGCTCGTGATGTTTCAGGTTTTTTTGTCTTTACATGAAATCACAGGTCGTCGAGCTAGATACGTCAGGGAGTCTTTGTTGTTAACTGGGAAATCACCCATCGACATGCGTGGAAAACATAATACACGACCTAACAAACTTTCAGAAGACACAAAACAGAAAGTGATCGAGTTCATTAAGAGTCTTAAAGGGCGCAAATCACATTATTCCTTGACAGACTCGAAAAAAAGTATCTATCTGAAGATCTGAATATCGTCAAATTGCACAAAATGTATTCTGATCGTAACGCTGATAATAACCTTTCCTACGAAAGTTTCCGAGGAATTTTTGAAAGTAACTTTAATATTTCATTTGGGTATCCACGCAAAGACACGTGCAGCACGTGTGATTCCTTTAAAGCCGGCATATCTTCACTTCCTCTAACATTGACGTCCATCTTGGATGGATGGAAAATGGTAAGCGATGATTTGGAGAAAAAAATGCGTGAAAGAGAGCTACATCTAACAAAAATTGAGCAATTTTACAGTCGTAACAGAAATCACCGCAAACGTGCTGCAGAGTCGATCAGTATGGAAAGTATCGCCATGGATTTCCAAAAAAACTTACCATGCCCAAATATTACTACCAATGATGTTTACTATAAATGTCAACTGACTTTCATCATTCTCAACGTTCATATTCTGTCAAATTCTAGATCTGTATTTTACACTTATGATGGAACTGTTGCTAAGAAAGGAGCTGACGACGTTTGTTCTATGCTGTATCACTTCTTTTATAATATTCTGCCCATGGAAGTGAAAGAACTGTCAATTTTTTGTGATTCCTACGCAGGAAAAATAAAAACTTCACTGTAATTTGGTTTCTGCATTACTTGGTCACTAAAAGAATCGTTTTGATACTGTGAAAGTGATATTCCGGATCAGGGGGTATTCATACCTCGAATGTGATCGAGACATGAGCCTCGTAAATCATAAAGCATACACTGAGGTACCACATGACTGGAGAGAAGAATCAAGATATTGCCGGTAAAACCTACACCATTCGAAATGATTGACTGTGGCAAAAAGTTTGTATTTCAAAATTGAAGTTTATTTTTATCGCCGATAATTAAACGTACCTATATTTTCCATTTTCTTAGAATCCGTCAAAATGGACTATTGTCGTTTTTTCCCCGTACCCTTCATCTGTTTTCATGGATTTATTATTGTATTGCAATTGATTTTTCAAAATCTACCTGTTCTCCAGAATGTTTTATCCATCTATAAAACGTTGGGCATGAAATGCCATTAATCAACATATTCATAAATCACCTTTTGGCCTAGAAATAATATTGTATTGTTTTGAATCATGCTCTTAAGAAAACAACGCCGGCCGCCACTGGTAGCCAAAAATCAATCGTGACGTGTCTAAGAGCGAGCCCAGTCCGACCGACTTTTCGCGATTGTTAGATGTTCGCTGCCGTTCTAGATGTGACGAGAATAACGTCATCGGCTTCCATGGAATTCCGATAAATTTTCTACGGCATTCGATTGCCACACGATTCGATGGCACACGATTCACTCTATCACTCTGTCTCTATCGAGACAATTCGTATTTCTATTGCCTAATATAATATAAAAATATGATATAATTATAATTGTTATTTTTCAGCTGATCTTTTCAATTTTTTACAGATTCTTTTAGGGATTTCAAATCAATTTATATTTATTATATCATATATTTATTAGACAATGGAAGTCCGAACTAAGAAAATGCACCACGAAACATTGTCAACCACCTGCAAACAAAAGTGGTTGATTATCATGCAGTGAGGTCATTTATTGGTAAACCCATGTGGAAAAACGAAATAGTATTGTAATTGTTTTATCATAATCTACCTGTTTTATCAGAATTATTCATTGATATTATTAGGTTTTATAGTTAGTTACCTACTGTTATATAAAAGACATTATGGAATAGTTTGATGTACCATTCCAAATGATGGTGCTACATTGTTCCGGAGTACATGTTATATAGAATGTAGGTATACTGTGAAATATATCATCATTATATAATGTCCCCAAGAACGAAATCATTTCATGAGGCTCACAACAACTCCTATCTTCCATAAACACGATTTTCTTCATCCGAAAGCCACACGCTCTCTCTGCAACATACAAAATGACAGACTTTCACTTCCAGAGCTGGTTAAGTTTTTATGAGAGAACATTTAAAACAAGAAGGCGATTGGGCGGCACAGGACACTCACCAGTGTTGCCACAAGCCATTTTTTCATAAAGGTAGATTTCTGGAAGAGAGCGGGGTAGAACCGGGGTGGATCCACATTCACATGATGACACCAATCACAGTGGCGCATTGACGTATACCTATGATTGTCGTTCTTTGTTCTATGATAAATTTGACGATCGTAATCAAAAACATGTCAAATGTCATTGCATCCAAATTTGGGATCGATGTGTTTCCAAACAATTTCTCGAAAATATTAGCTTCCATGTTCATATGATAGTCAACATTGCAGTCCTCATTTTTTACCATATCCTTTACTTCCTCCGCAATGCAAAATGATCAGTCGCGATCCTTTGTTTGCAGGCTTGTTTGTCGTTCACATTCTCGAACCATCAGTCCACCCTTTCGTAACTGTGTCGTTAGTGTCATACCAAGTTTTATCCAAATAGATAATTTGCCGTTGTTCTTGTTCATATTTAGTTATTCGTTCTGAGTGTTTGTTACCAATTCTACTATTCTTCTGCTTTCCATAACTGCTTGACGTTTGTTAATTATTTTAAATCTAAATCCTAGTTTCTTTATCTAATTCTGAAGAGTTTTGTCACAGCACGTTATGGCCGGAAGTCTTCAATGTGTTCCTTATGATTTCAATGTAGGAATCTTATTGATTTTGTAACAGTCGTATATTGTTTTTTCAATGATTTTATTAGATGAAGATCTAAAGGTTTTGGTAATCTTGTATCACTATTTCACGTACAGTTGAGAAAGAAATTTTGGTCAAACCTGATGTTGCTTGTAATAGTTTGTTTCCCTCGAAACCAAACTTAAGATGTAGGTTCTTATATACATTGAAACATATTCACTGGTATCTCTTTTTCGCATTGTTCACCATCGCTATTGCAATCAGTACACTGGAAAAAGACTGCGTTGTTATCACACTCGTTATTACTATCAGTACTTGTCCAAAGACACCACATTTTAAATCGATAACAAAAATGTTAAGTAAATATAACTGCACCAATATCGAATTTCAACACTCAAATCGCGATCAGTTCCTGAACTGAATACGACGGCGATAATCAAAGGCCGCATTCCATGATTTCTATTCGTCACCGTAACATGACTTCAAATTCAATTTTATGACTCTTCTACCAATCACAACTCGGCTAGTAAAATTTATCCGATACGAAACGCCAAGTGTACAGTTCACACATAGAAATGTAGCCGATTCATTTCTATGTGTTGGTTTTTATGACCTTTGAGGGTGCCGACATCTTAAATAGTGTAGAATATTGGTTCCTTCGACTATACATATAACTACATTTACATCACAGACTGAGATTGCACATAATATAAACATTTCCACATTTACGTTTTCAACTTTGACTAATAATGTCGAATGTCATGTCACAAACATCATATAACATTTCACACGCACAGAGCATGATCACGGCGCTTGGTATCATTGGAAGAGCAGAAGAGCATTGTAGTGTATCTCAGTACTCAGTCACAGAATACCGGAACTATCGGTGTAAGACATCGACATAACCTTAATGGTGGTGTAAGAGTCTTACAGTAAGACACAAACCAAGGAACCGTCGCCAGCAGCGCCAGACACTCAGTCTACGTCAACGTTGGTACTCCGTTCGTGTAACGTGGTAGACTCAAAATCAAACCTAAATATTTGATCATTCTTTCAATTTTTATTTTACATTCTTTTGCTTTATATCTGAGCGGGGTAGATTTACTTGAGGGGAGCGAGAGGGTGAAATTGAGTTCAAAAGGGGTAGAACTACCCCGTACGGGGTAGCTGTGGCAACAGTGGCAGTCACTATAGGATTTATGTTCGTTCAGATATGTTTTGAATATGGAAATTAGTTTCAATTGTCAATGTTGAAGGTTTTCGTTGATGAACCAACTTATTGAACTTGAACAATGAACGAAAAACAATTGAATGACATTTTATTTATTTTTTCAGAGGCATGGACGAAAAATATATTCAGAGATACCAGACGCTAATAGAAGAACAATTCGCATTCACTGGCCAATCGCAAATGTTCAATTTGGAATTGAAGTGTAAACCATTGGGACAATAATGTTGGTATGGTATTCCGTTAGAACACTGGCAGAATTTAGTGCAGTCTGGTAACGCAATGTAGACTGGATCTTTGCCATCAACATTGGGACATTCTGTAAACAGATATATCAAAATTAAATCTACAGTTCATTATCATTTCAGTACCTATTCCATTTTGTTGACACAAATCGACTTCAGTAGTAGTCTCGACAGTAGTAGTCTCCTTTTTTCCATCATCACAATTATTGTCGTCGCCATGAGGCCAGACGCATATATTCAAAATAGAATTGAAATGCAAACCATCTGGACAGTCATGAAGATACGGTTTTCCGTTAGAACACTGACAAAATTTGGTGCAGTCTGGTAGCGGAAAATAGACTGGATATTCGCCATCAACTACGGGGCATTCTGTAAACAGAAACAACAATATCGAATCTTTAGTTTATTGTATTTTTTAGTACCTATTTCGTTTTGCTGACAAATATCAACTTCATATTTTTTGGTAGTAGTCCCTTTTTGTAGATGAATATTGACTCCAACCTGTTTGGTAATAGTGTACTCATCCACAGCTTCACAGTCCTTACCACCATTATTATTATAGTAATTCTCGTATTGTTCACTATTGTCCTTACCTTGGTAGGAAATGTATATTGGATCAATTTCATCTCCAGGTTGACAAAAGGAACCTACAATTGTTAAGTGTATTGAAATTAGGTAATGATAATTCTTAATGTACAAAATTAAGCCTTTTTGATTTCATTGAACAGGATAACGAATGAGCAATCACACATTTTCTATAGAAGTTGCAAAAGACATACTACTAATAGTGTCTGAGAGGCACTACGTCTCTAAAAGTAGGAAAAATATGGATTGTGTACTTTTTTCCCAATAACAAGATTGAAAAATTCAGTTTTTGGTGTGACGATGAGTAAACGGATTCGTTTGCAATAATTTTTTAGGCCAGTGGCACAAGTCGTTGATTTTGAAGTTAGATAGATTCTTCTCAATAATTTAAAGGCTAGGTTACAAAAACGGAAAATCGGTTTTCAGAAATGAGATATGCCTAAGCATATCTAATCTTTGTTATTCTTAATGTGGCATGCCACAAAGATAAAAGTTCAGTTTCAGTTTCAGGAGTGTATAAATCATCGTGTGGGTTATGTGCGATGTTTTATATAGGTCAAACTGGAAGAACGTTCCAAGCCCGCATAAAGGAACACAAATATAGTTTTCAGAAGGGAAAAATAAATTCCACATATGCCAGTCATTCAATCTCAGAGGGACTTGAGTTCAACCATGAATACAAACCCCTCCATTTCCAGAAACAAGGTTTGAAACTTAACCTGTTGGAGCGGATGGAAATTAACAAATTCAAAAACTGTCACCTTATGAACGATCAAACTGAATTGAATAATTCGCCATTATTGGATCTGTTCGTTTGTAGGTAATATAGTTAGGTATATTTACAGGTTTACTTTCGAAAAATTTATTTACAGTGTTACTGAATTCACACATGACCTTTTCAAGTAGATTCATTATTTAGGTAGTCGATTAGGTACTAGGTTAGAGTATAAAATGGTTGTAATTCACAAGTAACTCTGAGTTTATGCTTGAAGAAGTTATTGTATAGCGAAACACGTGTCGCGGTTTTTATAAAACCTTTTTATGGTGAAAATCATACAATAAACTATATCGATTAGTTTTTCAATATGGATTTTCATCAAGTATTGGCCAGTTCTATTCAAAAACTGTGATTTTTTTATGAATATAATCTCTCAATACCTTGAAAATCATTTGACCCATTTTCAGAAAAAGTACAATTATTTTCATACGTTGAATTGTTTTTGAGGTAGAGGGCAGCGCGAGCGCAGATTGAATATTATTTGAAATCAACTGGTTGTCCCGATCGAAATCAGATCATTCAGGTTTATAAATTATTACTTAATGAATAATTATGAATAATTTTCATTTTTTATTAAGAAATACATCAACACTAAACAAGCCAGAGATGATGCGGATGTTCTCATTATTTAGACAGCTATTGAAGAATCTAAACGTCAAAGAACAGCAATTATAGTCGGTGAAGATATTGATTTACTTGTGATTTTAATTGGGCGTACACTATCTCTTGAACAAGAAATTTTCTTTAAAAAAGTTGGCAAAGCAAATGTGAAAACGGAAATATCTCCTCTGAGAGTTTCGACAAATAGTCAAGTTATAAAAAACACATATTTTTCCTTCATGCTTTAAGCGGCTCTGATACGACTTCTGCGCTCTTTAAAAAAGGTAAAAAACATTTGAACATTCGAGAAACTATCTAATTTGGATGAACTTGCCGCAGTATTTGAAGAAGAAAACTGTCCGCTTCAAAGATTATTTGATAGTGGATTGCAAACTTTATTAGCTCTTTATAATGCTCCAAAGTCTGTAGATACTATCGAACATCTTCGTTATGCACAATATGTCAAGCTAACAAAGCTCAATAAACCTGTGCTGTTATCAAATATCCCACCAACAAGTGGAGCAGCTCACCAACATTTCAATCGTGTTTATTACCAAGTTCAAACTTGGTTAGGACATGATTTGGAACCCCAGGAGTAGGGTTGGACAATGCGTAACGGATTGCTAGAACCTATCATGACCATTTTACCACCTGCTCCAGGTGAGTTACTCAATACGATATTCTCTAACTGCAAAAGTGGTTGTGGTTTCAAGATGTGGATGCGGGAAAGCGGGGTTGCAATACTCTTTATGTTGAAAAAACCACCATTTTCATAATTTGTTAATTTGTTTTCGTTCACATTGTATATGTTTATAGGTAGTTAAGAGATTAATTTTGACATAATAAAAGTGTAAGTTGAGTTGTCTAAAATTAATACATTCATTCAAGAGTTTACTTGAGATATTCCCTCTACTTCAACATGGTAGCAGAGCGCGGTTGGTTAGCCTGAGATTCCGGAGTATAAGAAATATTTGCAAATTATAAGAAACTGCTGAAATTTTCTTGCTGAAAATTTTTGACCATGACAAGTGCTCTGAAGCTATCATTTTTATTCAGTTGAATTCAAGCTCTACCAAAAGCAAAATGGATGCAACTAAAATACAAATAGGATTACTTGAGGGCAAGTCAAACTGGTCATCATGGAAATACAAGAACAGCTTACTATTACGAAGTATTCAAGGCGGTACTGAGGTAGTTGAAGGAAAATTAACATTACCAGAAAACGCAACCCAAACTCAGAGAACAAAGTATGACAAGGACTTGAAAGACTTCAATCAAGCAGACAATAATGCTTTACTGGTTCTTACAGTAAATATGACTCAAGAAACTCTTGCAAAAGTGATGAGGTACACTACTGCTCGTGAAGTGTGGCAAGAATTACACAGGCTGTATGATGGTTATGTTGAGGACAAAACATATGACACATGCATGCAATTCTTCAGCTACACACGACACGCAGAAGATGACATTCCATCTCATATTTCTTAACTCAAATCTTTGGAATATTTTGCAAAATGAAATCTCCAATGATAAAGTAGTGAATGGAAATACCTGTAAATGCGATCTACCAGAATTGTTGCTGATTTGCAAGATTTTGGAGACTCTTCCTCCAGAGTATTTTTCATTCAAATCAATTTGGATGTTAATGTCGAAGAAGGATAGAACAATTGACAGTTTAACTAATCAACTTTGTGCATACGGAAAAGCTTTATCATCCCAATCCTTGGTCAAAGAAGAAGTGCTGTTCTTGGAAAATTAAGAAAAATTCAAAGGAAATCACAATATGAACCTGTTTTGTAAATATTGTAAACGAAAAGGGCATAAAATAAAACACTGTTTCAAATGGAAAGCAGATGGAAAACCTCCAAAACCAGGAAATGGCAAACCTCCAGAACCAGGAAATGAAAAACATAAAACTAGTGATATCAATGTGACTCTCGTAGCAGAAACAAACTCCGTGTTGTATTCTACGTATGATAAAGACATTTGATATGTTGATAATGGTGCTACGAATCACATCACCAATCAAAGTGATATGTTTCAAGAATACACACCTTTTGATGGAAATCACAGGGTCACAACAGCTAATGGAGATTCAATCCCAACTCTAGGTCAAGGTACTCTGAGAGTGAAAGCTTGTGTAAACGGAAGAAAACAGATTTTCACCATGACAAACGTATGGTATGTTCCAGAAATGAACAAAAATCTTTTCTCTGTTTTATCCGTGCAAGATAAAAACACGGTTAGCCTATTTATTTCGAGTGCTGAAAAATGTCAAAAAAAACTTTCCGGAAAAACTATTTTAGTTGGAACAAGAAACAGATGTGGAGGATTGTACAAACTGAATTTGAAATTCGTCAAACCTGAAGTTGCTGTTATTGTGAATGCAGTTGGCAATGAAAACGTATTACAGCTGTATCACGAGAAACTTGGACATCAAAATAAGAAACATGTGAAATCGCTACCCGAACGTGAACTTGGTATACATGTCAATGGACAGTGAATTTTGTGAAGGATGCGTTTACGGAAAAGGTCATATAATGAAGTTTGGTACCAGAGACAGACCTGATGTTCCTGCACAACGAATACATGCTGATGTATGAGGACCTTTTTGTCCATCCAAGTCAGGTTACCGGTATTATGTCCAGTTCAAAGATGATTTCAGTAGGTTCCGTTATGTTTTCTTCATCAAAGAAAAATCTGAAGTTGTAGAAAAGCTGAAGATTTTACTCGCAGAGATTAAAGCTATGGGCTACAAAGTTCAAGAATTCTTGTCAGATGGAGGTGGAGAATTCTCAAATAGAGAAATAACCAAAGTTCTCAATTACTATGGATTACGACAAAGAATCATCATGCCCGACACTCCTCAGCAGAATGGTTGCGCTATAATCGAACAGTAGTTGAAACTGCCCGAGCTTTGATGCATGCTAGAGAAGGACGAATAAGTCAAAGCTTGTGGGCTGATCAATACAGCTGTTTATATTTTAAACAGATCCGGTACATCTGGTATTAAAGACAAATCTCCCTTCGAAATATGGTTTGAAAAGAAGCCAAATTTGAGACATCTCAGAGTAATAGGCAGTTATTGCTATGCACCCATGCCAAAAAGATGTCGAAAGAAAATGGATAGAAAGACTATAAAAGGAGTACTCATTGGATATGAGAATGATGATGGATGTCGTATCTGTTGTGAAGAAAGTAAGAGGCTAATACGAGCTCGTGATGTAATTTTTCACGAAGATAAACCATTAAATTCTGTTATGGCAAGAGTACCTTCTACTGATGAAAATGAGACGTCAGAAGAAGACATACCAGTAGACACAGATGCTAAAAATACATCGGATATCTCCGGCTCTCAAACTGAAGAGATAGAAGATCCATTTCTAGAAGATGAGGACATTGTAATAAAAAGGCAGCTGAGAGATAGACATGAAATCAGAAAGGTACTCCGTTTCGATGATTATGCCATGATTGTTGCTAGTGAAATAACCGAACCTCAAGAGCCACTCACTTACAAAGAGACCATCTCTTGTCCTGAGAAAGATCATTGGATTCGAGCAATGGAAAATAAAATCGAATCCCTAAATGAAAATCAAACTTGGAATATGGAAGAACTGCCACCTAGTAGGAAAGCAATTCCATGTAAATGGGTTTACAAAAGGAAGCTGAATGTAGACGATTCTG